TGTCCAAGGCCAGGCTGGACGGGGCTTGGAACAACCTGGGACAGTGGAAGATGTCCCTGCCATGGCAGAGGTGGAACGAGATGGGCTTTAATTCCCCTTCCCACACAAACCATTCTGGGATTTGCTGAATCAATGATTCCCAGGAATCCTCCACGGACGGGGGGCTGCAGCAGCCTCCTCCCACCCCTCCACCACGCTCCCTCCTCTCCCCGCGCCCCCTCCTCTCCCCGGCCTGGGGGGGAATTAACAGCTGAACAAAACCAAATCTCCAGCAGCCTGAAAAGTTCCATTTCCTGCCCCGCGGAGGGAGCGGCCAGGGCTGAGCACAATTACACACCCGGCTGGGCCGGTTCCTGCAAATCGATGGCCACCAAGGGCCGGGGGTCTGTCACCTGCCTCCCCCAGCAGCCCCCCGCCCCATCCCGATCCCGATCCCGATCCCGATCCCGATCCCGATCCCGATCCCGATCCCGACCCGCCGGAGGGAGCGGCGGTGCCGGCTGGGAGCCGCTGCTGTCTCCTCGCCTCCCCGCCCTCCTCTCCCGCGCTGTTTCCATAAATCATCCCCCGCTCTGGGATTCTCCAGGTGCTCCGCAGCTGGCAGCTTGTTACAGGAGCGTTCCTGCTTGTACCGCTTGTACCTATCAGGAGATAAGGATGGGAGGAGAGCGATGGCCGGCCAGGCGGGGAGGGGGCGGCGGGGACAGCCGGGGCGGACACGGGACCAGGAGGGACATCCCGCATCCCGGGGACAGCAGGGACATCCCGAATCCCGGGGACAGCAGGGACATCCTGCATCCCCTGCGGGTTGGATCCGGGGCAGGAGCCGCCGCCGGAGCTGCTGGAGGGACGTGACGGAGCCCAGGAGTGCCGGTGAACCCACGGTGAGCACACGGGGGTGTCGTGGTCCCCTGCGTGGGACAAGACAGGGGAAGTGGGGATGAGCCCCCCAGCCCTGCTGCAACGCTCAGAGGGGGCTGGTGGCCACCGTGACAATCTCAGTGGCCACTGTGCCATCCTCGGTGGCCACTGTGCCAGTCTCAGTGGCCACTGTGCCACTTCCATCCAGGAGTCTGAGCCCTGCAGCACCCACCAGCTCCTGCAAACGCCATGGGGGACCCAGGGGGGCACGGGGACAGCCTGGCCACGGGGAATTCATTCCAGTGGAGCAAACTGAAGCTGGATGTTGGAGAAAAATTTATTTTCACCTTCAGGATGTTCCCAACTCCTTGCTCTGCCTTGAGCAGCCCCGGGGAGGGTTTGGCCTCCTGGTGAACCTTCCCGTGGCACACAGTGGCCATGGTTGCCCTGAGCCACAGTGGCATCCCTGCTGCAACAGGCACCTGGTGGCACAAAGTGGGAAAATGCCTCTAGAAATCCCTGCAGGGATGGGTGAACATCCTTGCCTGATTGAACATCCCTGGAGTGAGGACTAGGGGAGGGAGGGAGCTGGGGACCATCCTGAGCCTCCTCACAGTGCAAACGTAGACCACCAAACCAGGACTGGGGGAGCTGCACCCCCGTGCTCTCCACAGCTGGAATGTTGCACCAGGTGGGATATTCCACAGGCCAGGGGAGCACGGAGCACCCACTGCCTCCAGGGGATTAAATGAAAAAAAACCCCAATTAATGCTGAAATGCTGAAAGGAGCAGCAGGAGCGGAGACCTCGGGACTTGATCACCACGGGGGCTCGGGATCCCTGGGGGTCCTGGAGCCTTTGCTGTGCAGCAGGTGGGGAGCAGGGCAGCACCCCATGGAACCAGCCCCAGTTATCAGCTGGAATGACCCAGCTCCACTCCTGCTCTGATTTTGCTGCCATGGGGATCCCGCAGCCCAACAGGATCCAGCACACGGAGCATCCAGGCCCAGCTCTCCATCACCACCACTCCTCACATCAAACCTCGATGCCTCTGCAGAAGAGACGGGCTCTAAATGATCCCATTCAGGCCCTAAAGCCCCACGACTCCATTAATTAATTACTAACGACGATCCGTCTCAGCCTCGCGCCTGCCCGTTCGCTATTTTTACCTCCCTATTTCCAACTCCCAGCGTTAAAAAAATCATGAGCCGGGTCTCAGAAAACCTCCTGAGCGGGTCTAAAAACTCATTTTTTGGTCAATCCCTGGCAGGCTCTTTTGCTGGTGGTTCCCTCTGACGGCGGGTGACGGCGGAGCTGGAGGTGGCACCCACGTCCCCGGTGGTGGGTGGCATCGCTCCCGCTCCTGGCACACATATGGTCCTTATTAAAAAGCAAAATTAGTCTTTCACCCTCTGGTGGCAAAACTTCAGAGCTCGGATCAGCTGTGGGAGCCTCAATTAATTACCAGCGGGTTGTTCCTATTGCTGCTAATTATGCTGGAATAGGCATAAAATGCCAGGAAGGAGCACGGGCTGCTCCAAAAAAGTTTGGGATTTAAGAAAAGAAAGAGCAGAGGCAGAGAATGCTCGTGATGCCACATCAGAGAAGCTTGTCCTGGCTTTGGTGGCCTGCCAGGATGTCACCTGTTGGTGTCGCATTCCTGGGGAAACTGAGGCAGCAGCAGGTGAGGAGCCGGGGCTGTGGGAGCTGCCAGCCCCGAGCGCCCACCCGCCAGGCAGCCTCGCCTCCTATAATTAAGTACTATCAACAATTGCACATTAATTAATTTAATATCCATTATTATTAATTAACAGGCTAATTAAGTCCTTCCTGTAATTAACACACCACCCAGCAGAGAGGTCTGGCTGCAGAGCCCTGGTGTACCAAGGGAAAGGGGCTGCACAGGGAGCAAGGATGGACCCCTGGAGCCGGAGCCCTCTGGGGACACAACCCCGGACACCCCCCAGAGGGGACACGGAGCCGCACGGAGAGGGAAAAGTGATTCCTCAAAGCAAGGGCCTCACACGACATTTATTTGTATTTTATTATAAAAAAATACAGAATCCAAATGGGGGGGGGGGGGTGAGAGATCCGGTTACCATCAGCACGACGTCGAGGACGAAAGCGGAAAATGTCGAAGGACGGAGCGAGGCGCGACGGGGACCAGCACGGGGGGACAGCGCCGAGGGCAGGGGGGGCTGCTCCAGGGGACCCCCTGCCCTCCCTCACCACCGGCCTGGGCACAGGGGGCTACTCCAGGGGACCCCCTGCCCTCCCTCACCGCCGGCCCCGCTGCCGCCTCCGTCCTTCCACTCTCCCACAGTCGCTGTACACAATATAGATATTTATATATATAATCTATATATATATAAAACACAGACCGAAGGCCAGGCGGGTGCTGCCGGCTCCACATCAGAGCCTGGCAGGTGCCCCCCGCATCCCCCCCCCCATAAACACAATGCTTCTGTCACCTTCGGGAACCACGACCTGGTCTGGACACACGGGACAGGGACAGGGACGGCAGGGAATGCAATTTTTTTTTCTTTTAATTATGTGGGGTTTTTTTTTTTGTAATTTTCTCTTTTTTTTGTAAATTTTTTTTTCTTCTTTTTTTTTGGTTTTTTTTTTTGTTTTTTTGTTTTTTTGTTTTTTTGGATGGTCGGGATGAGCTTATTGCAAGATTCCAGCTTCCTAGTCTAAAAAATAAAAATAAAATAAAAATAAGATAAACCCTTCCATAAAATCCATTCTCAACAATACATAAAAAAAACCGCTCACAGTATAGCGCTGTATGTACAGGGATGGAGCCCTCCCGACCCCCACTGCAGGAAGGGCCGGGATCCACTTGGAATGGGGGGGCTCCAGCCGGGTCTGAGCCCATCTCTGGCATCCCCCGGGACCACCGACCATCCCTGGCTTCTGTGGGATGGCACAGGACCTCCCCAAGGTGGGACAGCCCCAGATTTAAGGCGAGGAGGGGTCAGACCCCGGGGCTGCGGGGTGACCCCTCCCTGGGGATCTGCCACCCCTGGGGTCACGGCCAACCTCGGATTGGGGGTTTGAGGTGGGGGGGGGTGGTTTTCACTTATTAATGCAAAGGAAAAGGGAAAAATTCCCAAGCCCAGCCCTGGCATGTCGGGGGACAATGGGGGAGCGCCAGGAAGGTCCCGCACGCGGTCACCGGCCCCCCCCACGGGGGCTCCTGTACCCCCAAGGCATCGGGGGGACACGGAGCAGGGTGGAGGAGGAAAATCCACGGCACACACTCCTCCTGCCCCGGCCAAACGCCCTCGGAGCGATGCCCACGGCTGGGCGAGCCCGGCCTGCCGGCTCCCAGCGCCCGGCGGTGCTCCCCGTGCCAGCCGGCCATTCCCGCGTTCCCAGCGCCGGCCGTCTGCAGTGCCAGCCCTTCCCAGCGCTCCCAGTGCCAGTGCCAGCCGTGCCCGGTGCTCTCCACGCCGGTGGCACCCGGTGCTCCCGGTGCTGGCCGTTCCTGCTGCTCCCCGTGCCAGGCGTGCCCGGTGCTCTCCTCGCTGGCCGCTCGCTGCTCTCCCGGTGCCACCCTCGGTGCTCCTGTGCTGGCCACGCATCCCCAGTGCTCTCCACGCCGGCCATCCCAGTGTCCCCAGGCCAGCTGTCCCCAGTGCTCTGCTTGGCTGCATCCAGTTTGCTGCTCACGGAGCCACCCCGGTGTCCCACGGGGACGGCGGTGACATCCGTGGCACGAGCGGAGGGGACAGGGTGACCCCCCCGGGTGCTCAGAGGGGGCTGTGTCCGTCCAGGCCCCCCGTGCCTGGGGCAGGGGGTGGCCGGGGGTGGCGGGTCCGGCCCCGTGACGTCCTGTGGCCGGGCTGGGAAGGGGTCCGTGCCCACGGAGCCGGTGGCACCATGGCTGTGTCCGGTGGTCCCGGTGGCTCTGCCCACGGTGGGGACAACGAGGGCTCAGCGGGGACTCGAGCCCGGCCCGTGCGGGTCAGTTTGTCACCAGGGGGACCCGACGGGAACAACTCAACAAATAAAAATAAAAATAAAAATATTTTTTCACCTAAAAAAACCGAACAAAAGCAAAACAGACCAAAAAAAAAAAAAAAAACACCAAAAAAAAAAAAAAAATCGAAGAAAAAAACACCCAGACGGACGAGGACTCTGTATTTGGTCTAGAAATGTAAAAAGCAACGCCCCACCGGGACAGCCGGAGCTGCAGGGCAGGGATGGAAATTCGGGACCCGTTCCCCGGGACAGCCCGGCACCGCTCCCGGCGGGACAGCCGTGCCACGGCGGGGACTTCAGGCGGCGACAAGATCCTCCGACCCTCCCTGGGCACCGTGCAGGCGATTCTGGGCGGGCGGGATCCGTCCCCGGAGCCGCTCCCGGTGTGTCGGTGTCGGTGCTACGAGAGCAGGAGCGTCCAGACGACCGGCACCACCGCCAGCGCCGCCGGCGGCACCCTGAGGCTGCAGCAGGAGTTGTTGCTGGTGAAAATGGGCTCCGGGGACTCGTAGAGGGAATCGTCTGTGGAAAAGGAAGGAGCAGAGGGAGGGTGAGCCGGCGGGATGGCTGCGATCCGGGCTGGAACCGGAGGCGCGGTGATGCTCGGCACGCCGGGGTTGGGATCCGGCAGCGGTGAGCGGAGAGCTGACCCCTCCCCAAATCCCAGCTTCCCCAAAAGCGCAGCTGCCACCCCCGGGATGTGACACGGGGACATCCAAGTGCGGCGGTGAGGGTGGGAATGCCGAGGGTGCTCCGGTTCCTGCCCTTTTCCCGGGATTACGGAGGCTGTACCCCGTCCCCGAGTGCCACAGGCAGGTGACATTGTCCCCGGGGTTTAGCCAGGGATGGACCCACTCGGGGCAGGGTCACCCCGTGCCCACTGCCCGGGGGTCCTGTGCACACGGGACCCCACGTGGCCGCTCCCCAGCTCAGCTCGCTCCAGTTTGTCACCGGATTTTGGATTTTTATGCAGGAAAGGCAGAGTCTGCTCCTGCCTGGGGATGCTCCAATGCTCCACCCACCCGATCCCCCCGTGCCCCCAATTCCAGAGGGTCCCTCGTGCCAGGATGAAGTTTCCAGACTCATTCCAGGGCCAGACCCAGTCAAGGGGTGCCCCACCATCCCCCAGCCCCAGCCTCTCTCCCCCTTCCCTTCTCTTCCCCTCCGCAAGACGGAACAAAATCCCAATATTATTAAAACACTAAAAAATAATATCGGGAGAGATTTTTTTTCCCCCCCTCCTCATCCTGAATGGAACACGATGAGTTTTTACAGATGGTTCTGTTATGTTGGGTTTTATTTTAAAGCCACCAAAGGAAGGGAGGCGAGAGCCATCGGTTACCCGGTGACATTCCGCTGTCCCCGGGGAGAGCCGCTGCCATTTGCTAATTACACGTTAACAGGAGAAGAAAATTATTAATTTGTTTTTTTAAATGCCTGATTTATGCCAGTTGGAAAAGTAGCCACTGAGCAGGGATGATTATTGTTATTAATTTTTTTTTTCCCCTGTGTCTCTGTCTGGACAGTGCTGAGATGGCTCCAACAGAGCTGAGGGGCCCTGTCCCCATCCCTGTCACATCGGGGTGGTACCCAAAGGCCACCTCTCGCCCCCAACCCACGGGGCAGGACCTGGGGACCCCCCCAGGGACCCCCCACACCTCTCACTTACTTGTTGGCCGAACATAAACCTTCAGCTTCAGGCAGGGCCTGTCCACCGTGTTCGGGGGGGACGCGGCTGCAGGAGGAAAAGGGGACAAAGGGGGTGGATTGTGGGGACAGCAGCAAAACGAGGGTCAAGGCACTGAATAAAAACAATAAACATTGGGAGAGAGGGAGGAATCAGTAATTAACGGGGTGATACTTCCCTTTGGGATGAGAAAATGGGATTATTTTATATATATATATTTAAATAGATTTAATTTTCTCCTTTTTTGTAATTAAAGCAGGGGTTTTTTACCCATTCTTTTCAATTTTGGCACTTCACCTCATGGGGGGAAGGAAAAGGTGCTGAGCTGAGCAGGACCATGAGCGCCCCAACTCCTCCATCCCAGCTCCATCCCAGCTCCATCCCAGCTCCATCCCAGCTCCTCCAGAGCTGCTGCCAACCTTCCATGGGGGAGGGTTTTTTTTTACCCTCCCATTTTCTTTTCCTTTTTGGCGCTGCACCCCATGGGGGGGATGGAGAAAGTGCTGAACTGAGTGGGACCACAGGCATCCCACAGCATCCCATCCTACAGCATCCCATCCTACAGCATCCCAACCCACAGCATCCCATCCTACAGCATCCCATCCTACAGCATCCCATCCTACAGCATCCCATCCCACAGCATCCCATCCTACAGCATCCCATCCTACAGCATCCTAACTCACATCATCCCATCCTACAGCATCCCATCCTACAGCATCCTAATCCACAGAACCCCATCCCACAGAACCCCATCCCACAGCATCCCACCCCACAGAACCCCATCCCACAGCATCCTAACCCACAGAATTCCATCCCACAGCATCTCATCCCACAGAATCCCATCCCACAGAATCCCAACCCACAGAATCCCATCCCAGAGAATCCCAATCCACAGAATCCCATCCAGCAGCATCCCATCCCGCAGAATTCCATCCCATCCTGCTGCACCCCAGCTCCATCCCCAGGGCCAGCTCGTGCCCTTGACCCGCTCCAGAGGCACGAGCGTGTCCCGGTGCCGGCGGGTTAATGGATTCCAATCCGTGGGCTCGAGGAGGAGGTAATTTCTTTTCTTTCATGTCTGCTAAATACGGTTCCTCAAAGAGGCATAATTTCTAATGTTCCGCATGACGGGAATTCTAACCGGGTTAGCAATGATCAGCTTCCCATTTACTCCTGTGTAATCTCTCCCTAACGACATTAAAAAATAAAAAAAAATAAAATAAAATAAAAGTCGGGGGGGGGGGGGGGGGTGTGGGGGGAAGAGAGACAGAGAGAGTTGTGGCCGCAGTTATTGCGCCGGTGACATTTTACGGGGGGGAAGAGAGAGGGGGGAAATGGTAATTTAATATAGATAAAAGGAACAAATTAAGTGGGCTGAAAACAGCTGCTTTAGGAAAAAGAGGAGGAATGATAAGGCGGAGGAGCGTGGCTGTGGCTCGGAGAGGGCGGCGGGGTTGGGGTCGCTCTGCCTTGTTTGGGTTTGGGTTTTATCCCGGCACCTGCTCCCAGCACTACTGGATTGTTTTTCCTGTGGGCTCCTCTCCCCATCCTGTCCCTGCGGATGTTTTGGAAGTGGAAATTCCCTGCCAGGAGCCCTCGTCCTGCAGCCAGCGCCGGAGTTCCCTCCAGAGCAGGCCAGGAAGTTCAGGTTTGGGTGAGAAAGGGAGCCCAGATTCAGGAGAGCACAGGAATTCCATGTGAGAACATGGGAATTACATGGGAGAGCTCAGGTGTATACAGGAGAGCACAGGAATTCCATGTGAGAACATGGGAATTACATAGGAGAGCTCACATGTACGTGGGAGAGCACAGAAATTACACAAGAGCACAGAAATACATAGGAGAGCATGGGAATAGATGGGAGAGCACAGGAATTCCATGTAAGAGCATGGAAATATATGTGAGAGGATGGGAATTACATAGGAGAGCACAAGAATTACATGTGAGAACATGGCAGTTACATGGGAGAGCTCACATGTATGTGGGAGAGCACAGGAATTCCATGTAAGAGCATGGAAATATATGTGAGAGGATGGGAATTACATAGGAGAGCTCACATGTACGTGGGAGAGCACAGAAATACATAGGAGAGCATGGGAATAGATGGGAGAGCATAGGAATTACATAGGAAATTATAGGAAATATATAGCAATTATACAGGAAATTATAGGAATTACATAGGAAATATACGTGAGAGGATGGAAATTACATGGGAGAGCACAGGAATTACATGTGACACCACGGGAATGTTTTTGAGAGCGCCAAGAATACACAGGAGATTATGGGAACACTGCTTGGGGCTGGGACCATTCCCAGTGCTATTTCCACTGGACATTCCTGGTCATTCTCATGCCCAGAGCTGTGACAGTTTCTGCGGGACGTTTGCCTTGAGCTGGACACGGGGGATTTTTGGGGGGGGGTTTCTGCAGCATTTTGCCTCACCAACGCAAACCGAGCCACCAGGACCACCCCACGGACACCCCCACCCCATCCCCACCCCCACTCACAGATGTAGTAGTACTCGTGGCCGGGTCGGAACTCGAAGCCCAGCGAGAAGGGGGTGAAGAGCTGGAACTTCTCGGAGAACTTGAGGGGCCCGTTGGGCGAGTCGGGGCGGTTGCACTCCCAGCGCTTGAAGCCGCGCTGCCGGTGGTCGCAGGACGCGTGGCCCTCGTAGTTGACCATGTAGAGGATGTACCTCTCCATCCGCTCCGGCAGCGGCTCCTCGTAGTGCGGGCAGTAGATGTCCAGGTAGTCGTTGATGCTCACCTCCACCGTGTAGTCCCCGCGGTGGAACCTGCGGAGGTGTCGGGTCAGGGGGTCACAGACTCGTTTGGAGACCCCCTCCCGGCAAGGAATCACCCAGAGGTTTGGGTTGGAAGGGACCTTCAAGCTCATCCAGTCCCCGTGGGTGCTCTGTTTCTGTGCCCTGCTTGGTGTCCTGGGCTGGGACTCTGCCAAGCAGCTCTTTTTGGGGACTGAAAATCCTCCCTGTGTTGCAGGAATGAGCCAAGGAGAGCCATTCCCAGGAGATCGAGTGCTGCCTCCAGCTGATCCAGGGCTATGGGATACGAGTGGGAAAGGAAGGGCAGGCGAACACAGGACCATGGAATCTCAGGATGATTTGGGTAGAAGGACATTAAGGCCCATCCAGTCCCCCCCTGCCATGGCAGGGACACCTTCCACTGTCCCAGGGTGCTCCAAACCCCATCCATCCTGGGCTTGGACCCTTCCAGGGATGGGGCAGCCACAGCTGCTCCGGGCACCCTGTGCCAGGGCCTCACCTCTCCGTGATCCAAAGCCTGATCCAACCCCAACAGCCCCATTAACCTCCAGACTAACCCAGATCCTCTTTGTTTCATGCCAACAAACCGGCACCATTTGGCAGGAAACCACACAAAAATGATGATTCCCGGCGGCGCCGGCATCGCCGCAGCTCAGCGCAGCAATCCCGGTGTCATTGGTGTTCTTGGCACCGGCTATCCCAGAGATTAAGGGATTAGCAGCACTGGAGAACTCCGTGGCACATGCCAGCAACCCCCCTCCAGCTCCTCAGGGCACCCCTGTGATCCCCTCCCCAAATTGCAGACCCCCCAGCACCACAGCTGGTGGAGCTCAAGGCCAAATTCACCGTTCCCCCTGGCAGCTTGGCTTCCCCTCCTCGCTGAGTGAGGTTTTTTCCTATCAATTTAAGGTTTCCCCCATCAGTAGCCCCCCAAAACCTCAGCACCACCAGGGACAGTGGTCACCCCACAGCTCCAGGGCTCGGCCAGTGGCTGGAGGGGTCAGCACAGCCCTGGTGGGCTGGGGATTGTGACCACAACCCACTCAACCTCCCAAAGCAGCATCTTGGGGCTCCCAAACACCCCCTGAGGCTGAGATGGCTTCAGCTCACCCAGGAACACCCCAAAAGTGCACCCCCATCCCTGTGGTGGGACGGCGGCAGAGAGTGACCCCCAAAAGGGAAGGGGGGGAAGAAGGGAGGTGGTGTGGGGAGGGGGGGTGGTCCTGCAGCCCCCCTCCAGCTCATTACCTGCCTCATAAGCTCTCTGATCACACAGGGAACGCGCTAATTAAGGAGCAGGGTTTCTCCCTCTCCTTCCCTCTCCTTTCCCGAGCCAGTTGTGCCAACCCTGCCCCTGGCAAGGTAACATTGGAAAATGTAAAATTAATACAAAGGGCTGGAATTTACTGGGAAACAATTTTCAAATGCACGGAGAACAATAAAAAATATTTAAAGAGAAAAAAACAACAAAAGAACCTTTTCCTCGATGCTTTTTATTTTAAAAAAATTATTTATTTTAATGATGGTTACTAAACCCAAGCAAAGGTGGGGGGGCCCCCACGTATCAGGGGAATAATAGTAACAATAATTATTACATTTTTGGGGAAAAACTCACTTTGAGGGAGTGACAAATTGCTGAATTAAAGCTGATTAAAGCTGATTAATGGTCCAGACACAGATGGGTGCAGGGGGGCCACGAGGAGGGGGTCACCCTCCTTTGGGGGGCTGTGGGGAGGAGTCACCCTCCTTTGGGTGAGGGGGTCTGTGGGGACCCCCAGTATGGTGCACCCCACCCTGCATGGGGTCCTGGGCTCCCCCAGTGCATGCCAGGCTGATGTTTTGGGATGGGGACGATCCCAGCACCAGGGATGTACCCAGGACACCCCCCAGCCTGGCAGCCCACACCCCATGGACACCCTGGCTCCAGAGCTCCATGCTCCCACCCTCTGGCATCGGGACATGTCACCCACAGAGCCTGGCTCCATCAGGTTTGGGTTTAATCAACAACTTCCCAGCCCCGTGACACCCCTGCCCCTTCCACGGCAGGAGCAAGGATCCATCGGAGGGAATTCAAATAAAATTAAATTGTCCAGAATTAAAATCTCAGAGCTGGTGAAACCCCTTTGGCAGCTCCCAACCCCTGTGTCACCACACCACGCGGGGCAGGGTGGCATCTCCATGCTGGAAACACATTGGCTTCTCAAGTTTTTACCTCTTGGATATTCACTGTGGAGGGGAAAAACCCTTCCAAGAGAAGAGGCACCTGCAGATGCAGACCCCCGGCCCCTGCAGGGCAGACCCAACCAGGAGAGCAAATCCCACACCCAAACCTTGGTCCTGGTCCCCCAAACCACAGCCAGTGCCTCAGTTTCCCCTCAGAGCTGCAGCAGTATCCTCCCAAAATTCCCAAATTCAGGCAGCGACCCAACACAGGAACAAAGCAGATTTGTCTCTACACCCTGCGAGACCAGCCAGTGTCCCAAGGGTTAAATAATTCAGATTTTTCTTTCCTGAACAGCTTGAAAAGAGATATGATTGCGCCCACTGGAATACGGGGAGGGGGGGGGATATTATGGATGGAAAAGAGCTATTTAAGCTGAGGAACGGTGTTGGCACATAAACAAATGGGTATAAACCGGCCATGAATAAATTGAGGCTGGAAATTAGGAGGTTTGGAACCACTGGGGGCCTGTTGGGGCTCACAGGGGCAGAGGGGCGAGGGGGGGACTGGGGCAGGGGGCCAGGTATGGGGTCCCCCCTGCTCCAAGGGCACCCGTCCTTGCGGGGCCAGGCACTGAGAGATTTAAAATCTCCCTTCCGCTTTCATCTCCCGAAATCTCCTTCATTCAAATAGTCACAGCGTGATCAGGAGTAATAAGCCTATTACAGAGCAAAATAAAACACAGCAGCTCCCCCCCACAACCCAGCCCCCCCCCCAGCCCTCCTGCCCTCTTTGGGGCTATTAAACACAACCCAAAGGAAATTCAGCTGCGGAGCAGCCAATGTCAACCCCCCCAGCTCCCCCAGCCCTGCAAGGAAACGGGGACAAAGTGGCTCCCGGAGCTGGGGGGGTGGCAGGGAAGGGCCCCCGGGGTGCAGGTGCCCACCGACCCCTTCCAGCAGCTCCTTTCTGCATTAATCCTGTTGCTCGGCTGGTTCCTGGCATGTCCGTGGCCGGCAATGGACTTCACGCCGGGAGCGTTTAAGCCAGTTTTCCATCTGCTTCTCCTTCTCCTCGGGCAGCCCGAGCCCGGCGTCATCCCTCGGGATGACAATGGCAGCGCTGGGCAGGAGCCGGACAGGGCCACCACGGGGAATTTGGGCCATGTGCTGGTCCCAGTGTCCTGGAGGCTGATCCCTATTCCCTGCTCAAGAGGCAGAAGTCACCTACGGAGTTGGGAGGGGATGGAGCCAGAGCTGGATGCACCTGGACACCTGTGTCCACCCAGTTTTGGTCCAGTGGGTTTGGCCACCCCAGACCCCATCACACCACCTCAGCAGTGCCAAAATTGATTTTAACCACGTTTCCAAATATTTTCCATGGCGGAGAGCGAGCGTCCCCCACACCGTGACCTCCCAGACTCCCTCCAGGCTGTGCCGGAGGATCCCAGCATCCCACCATGGCCAAGCCCTGGCGCTGGCAGGGATGAGATGACATTCAAGGGATGCCCTGTCCCCACCAACCCCAACCCCCAGGAGGGTGGCAGTGACGAGTCCCAGTCCCCAGAGGCTCCGGCGTTGTCCCTGGTGCCATGGTGGGACAGAGCGGGGACGGCGTCGTGGCACACGGAGCGCCAGTAATGTGGTCCAGAGGGACCCCGCCGTACACACAGCACCTAAATTATTTAATTTCTCCAAACTGCTGCACCTTTATAAATCATTAAAAGCTCCTTTTGATCTGTGTTAATGAGGTTTCCTGAGTGCGGGGCTGGGAAATGCTTCGGCGCCAGAAAGCGACGCCGCTGATTAAAAAAATAAAGAGGGGGTGAGTGAGAGCGTGGGGGGCAGGATGGGCACGGGGAGGTGGGCACAGGGCGGGGGGCACAGGGGCTCCCCAGGGCCCAGCCAGACAGTGGAGGGGCTTTAGGGATGCCCGTCATGTTTATGTTCTTTCCCTTCCCTTTCTCTTCCCCTCCCTTCCCTTTCTCTTTCAGTTTCCCTTTCCTTTTCAGTTTTCCTTCCCCTTTTCTCTCTCCCTTCCCCTTTCCCTTTCCTCTCCTCTTTCCCGGAGTTTTCCAGCCAGGGAATCCTGGGAACACGCTGGTCCCAGCTGCGACCACGACCTCGTTCCTGGGGAATGCCGGTGCCAGCCAAACCACGGGCAGGGCTGGAGCTCTTGGTCCTCCCGGTGCTCTGGGAAACAATTCCCTCCTTGGGGAGCAGCGGGATGGGATGAAACCCCCCGGGGCTGCCACTGGGAGCCCAGAGTCCGGTCCCAGCAGTGCCACCATCGGTGACCCCGTGGGTGACCCCGTGGCAGCGCCGCGGCGCCGGCCCTGACAGCTTTAATGCCGGTATTTATCTCCGCTCCAAACCTCCGAGCCCGGCTCCATATCCAGGAGCTCAATCACCGGGATCGGGAATGACGGTGATGGCTCGCACCGACAGCAGCTGGGTTTGGGTCGGCTGAGAGCCACGGAGCTGCTCCAGGGGGGACAGGGGTGGGGACAGGAGGGGGACAGGGGTGGGGATGTGAACAGGGATAGACACAAGGACGGGGACAAGGATAGGGATGGAGATAAGAATGTGGATGGAGATAAGAATGTGGGGAGAGAGATAAGGAGAGGGATGGGGACAGGGATGGGAATGGGGATAGAGGCAGGGATGGGGACAGAGATGGGGACAGGGATGGGGACAGGGATGGGAATGGAGACAGAGACAGGGATGGGGATAGGGGTGGCAGGGGGGATAGACAGGGACAGTGGTGGAGAAGGGGATGGAGACAAAAACTGGTATAGGGGCAGGAGTGGGGATGGGATTGGGGATGGGAATGGGGACAGGCATGGGAATGG